ATCATTATAATAACGCTAGATTTAAGGAAAATTTGCTAGATTGAAATAAAATCTTTATTTGCATTGTTGAAATTGCTAGATATAGCGCTCAGTTATATTATACTTCAATAATTTAAAAATTAATTCATAATCGGACTAAATGCGAGTAATATATATTGCATCGCAAAACTTAATTAGATTATATTTTTTACTATAACATTTGTTACAAAAAAAAATTAATAATTAATCTTATAAGAAATATGAAAACTTGAAACTACAATAGTACAATTATTGCAATAATAATTTTAACTAATTATTATTATTGCATTTACGAATTATTTTGTATTTCCAGATTCGATTTATATCGAATATAACATATTGATAATTGAAAGTAAATTAAAAATTACTTTATTTAAATAATTATTAAATAACGAGATGCTCTCCTTATTTTCATTTGGATTTGGGACCGACAATGGTTAAGTTACAGCATATTTACATATATATATGCATATCGAATAATAATATATTGATAATTGAGAATAAATTAAAAATTTTCTTATTTAAAAAATGATCAAATAACGAGATGTCCTTCTTTTTTCATTCGGACTTGGGACCGACAAAGGTTAAATACATATATGTGTTTATGTAAATATGTAAATAGATGTAACTTAATCATTGCCGATCCTAAGTCGGAATGAAAATAAGGAGGGCATCTCGTTATTTAATCATTTTTTTAAATAAGACAATTTTTAATATAGTATATATGTAAATATGTAAATAAGAGATGCAACTTAACTATTATCGGTCCCAAGTCCGAATAAAAATAAGGAGAGCATCTCATTATTTAATTATATTTAAATAAAATAATTTTTAATTTACTTCCAATTATTAATATATTATGTTCGATATAAATCGAATCTAGAAATACAAAATAATTCGTAAAGAGGATTAGTTAGAATGCAATAATTGATGTATTATCATAGTTTCAAGTTTTCATGTTTCTCGTAAGAATAATTAATAATTTTTTGTAACAAATGTTATAGTAAAAAATATAATTAACGTTTTGCGATACAATATTACTCGCATTTAATCCAATTATGAATTAATTTTTAAATAATTAAATATAACTGACAGCGATTTCAACGATGCAAATAAGGATTTTATTTATTTTATTTTAATGTACTAATTTTTCCTTAAATCTGGCGTTATTATGACAATTTTCGGTTTCTATGAAAAAAATACATAAGAAAATGTAGAAATAAAACAATCCCCGAGCGGTAGCAAAAACGCTTAAAAGTTACTCTCCTTTCTTTAACAATTTTATTGTAGCTGTTACAAAAAGTTGAATACTATATAATTAGCGTGATTATCGTAATAACAATTATGATTTTGTTCTACTTTTTTCTCGGAGAATATCAAATGACATTTTACTCTTTAAAATTATTAACTATACATTCGCTAAAAAAACACAGATAAACAATAAGTGACATTTAGTATCAGATATATTTAAAATACGAGGGTCGTTCAATAATTAATGAGACAAACTGCAATAGCGGAAAAACTACTGAATATTATTAGATGAAACTTTCTGAGGGTCAAGTATTGGCAACCTTGGAGATTCAATCTTAAATTCAATCAGCTGTTTGAAAGAAATAGAAGTAAACATTAACTCTTTTGCTCATTTTAAAATGTCAGTTCCTCTCGAAACGTGTCCGCCAGAAGAGCAACGTTCAGTGATAAGATTTTTGTTAGCCGAAGGTGTGAAACTAACCGAAATTTACTCGAGAATGTTGAAACAGTATGGTGAAAAGTCGGTCAAGACTTCAACCGGTCGTCCAGAGTGGTAACGATCGGTGACACTTGTTCTGCCCGAATTAAACTGTCCAATCCACTTATACACGACACGTTTTCGCGGCTTAAACACTTTTCACCATACTGTTTCAACATTCTCGAGTAAATTTCGACCGGTTTTACACCTTCGGATAACAAAAATCTTATCACTGATGCACTGTTGCTCTTCGTACACGTTTCGAGAGGAACTGACATTTTGAAATAAACAAAAAAGATTATGTTTACTTTTATTTCTTTCAAACAGCTGATTGAATTTGTCCCCAAGGTTGTCAATTTGACCCTCAGAAAGCTTCATCTAATTATATTCAGCAGTTTTTCTGCTATTGCAGTTTGTCTTGTTAATTATTGAATTATTTTAATACTATTAATTTAATTATTATATATAGTAAAATCGGAAGAGATTTAAATTTATATTATAGCAGAGATCGAGAGAAACATTTTAAAATAAATCATTAATGTATCGAACTTTTTCTTTTGACAAATCAAAACAAATTCGATAAACTCATTTCTTGTCGCTTCGATATATGATTGTAAACATTTTCACCACGTGGCGAGATGGTTCCATCGTGTCAGAAACATCGTGTTTCGAAACATTTCTTTCTGAGCGTGACAGAAAAAGATGTAGACATTTATAGATTGATCGAGATTGAACATCATCAGTTGGCCGTTGCAGTTCGATTGAGATTAGACATGCGGAATCTATTATTAAAGGCCGACGTTTCTCTTATGGTTTCACAGTATTAGTACGGCTTTGTCGGCGACGATTCTTTCGCACGAGGCCACTTTGGCGTCGTGCCCGTGGCCGATGTACGCCTCGAGGACGAAACGAAAGCAATCCTTCTATACCTTTGTCGTCATCATTGCGTCGCGATGCTGCCAAAATAGCGAACAAAGTAGAATGATGCTACATCCCGCTGACGTCAACTGCACGGAATACACATCCCGAGGAATTTATATATAAAATATACAATTGCGGGTTTTCTCATAACGATGATTGTACCCAAGAAGTCAATCAGCATATATATAGATACGGCACATGCTATAAAATAATATTTTTCCTTTTGTTAATATCGCATATTTCTTACATTCGAGTATAAGAGAATTATATTGTATAGTCACGTAGAAGAAAATTAGATAAAAAAATTATATAAATGCCATGCGTTGCATTAATATTGATGCAAGACTCTCTTTTACTGAAGAATATTTCTGTGCTAATATTATTAATATTTATATTAACAATAAAAAATCTAAATAAATTATTTTACAAATAATAAATTAGTTACTATTTTCAAATTAATTGCTGTCAATCGATTTAAAGAGATTAAAAAAGATACGCGAGGATTAATTGTCGTAAACTTCTATAATTATGTTGAGTCTACTCTAGAAAACCGCGAAACTTTGAGGGTAATTTTTAATGTCAAACGCATGACCGAGAACATAATTTAATCGCCAAATGCATAACCGAGAATAAGAGTTAATCGAGTGAACACTGGCCGGGCAAATGTAATAATCGCCAGTGCGATACGCATGCAAAGTGTATATCTACGATTTGTTTCTCCTCTCATCGCTCATGGACGGATCTCATTACGACATGAGGCTCGGGGACGATGGCTTTCTCGAGAATCATGACCTCGCGTTGGCTTCCAAGGCTTACGCCACTAACCGTTTATTATTTTTACTATTTATTTTTACTAATTCGGTGATGCAAAATTACGACAACAATGAACGACGTTTATCGTTTGCGACGTGTTAACGCATATAAGTGAATTAAAATTAACTCGTGTACATAAGATTAGATGTAAACACGTTATATTTCGATACTTAATTTTATAATTGTTTCATTAACATTTCACTTCAGCTCTATTTTGCTTTGTAAATTGAAATGAAAGTACTGATATTTTTTTAGTGCAATTTTATAGCATATTCTAACAATCGTAACAAAGTGGTTGCGGCAAACGGAAATGCGACAGTCATTTTCTTGTATTTTAAATAATATTTTTTAATATTATTTTATTGTTTGATTAAGTAAAAAATAGGAAATTATGAATGAGACATGATTGCGATCATTAAATATAATTGCAATTGCGTGTAAGTGCAACAAAAAGGTGAACCTGTTTGCTGGTTTTGTTTTATTTACTTCACTATTGGTCTCAAATGCATACTCTCAATGTCAATAAACGCTCATTGAGCGAAAGACTTAGTCGATCATCAATGCAGCTGGCATCGGTATCGCATGTCGCTTAGAGACTAGAGTTGTGAAATTTAATACTAAGTACCTCAACGCTTCCTTAATCCATAATCAGCGTTCGGCGTAATCTGAACTTTTTTAACATTTATATGCTGTGATATTAAACTAGAGTGTGTATGTGTGTGCGTTCTTGTTATATGTATAATGTATATGTAATATGCTTTACATATATACATATTAATATTATACAAGGAGGGGAAAAAGACTCCTGACATGCAGGAGTTGCATTTTTTAAAAGCAATTTTCTTTACGCCAAATGATTCATCTAATTATTCTGCGCATAAAATTATTAAGATAGGATTATTAAAAATTGAATGTTTTACAAGATATCTTGTATTTTATACCAAAATATTGTCACATTCATGTCTCATAACTTGGAAAGTCCTGAACGAAAAAGTATTTAATTATAGTGTTTTGCAAAGCTCTCGAAATAAGCTACAAGAATATGTAATAAAAAATGGAGGTTTGCATTCAAAAATTTCAAAGTGTTTTTTATGTGACAACGCTATTCAACAAAGCACACTACCCTTGTTATATAATGCGTCTCTTAAAACCCTATAATTTTAGTATGAAACATTTTTCTCTAAAATGCTTTGTTATCGAGATATTTTAAGGGTCCGGGATTTTTTCCCCACCTTGTATATACAATTATATATATAATATACATATAATATACATATATATTAAGCTTAAGAATATTGTGTGTGCATAATGCATACAACAGTTGACATTATTCTGCATCTTTCGATATATTATTTTTCAACGCAAAAATTCGCATAAGTGAATCACACATAAAAATTCCCGAGAAATGAGTTAAGAAGTAATCGTTTTAGCAAATGAGCGACGAATAAGCGCAGTAGTTCCTCTTTTCGCGCAATTTTATTTCTCGTCTCTGTATTCAAGCGTACTCTTACGATTTCAGGCACGGAGAGATGCCCTCAGAAGGGAGTCGTGAAGCTAGTGGCCTCGAAACTGCTAAGGGCGCTGTCCGAGAAAGGATTGGCCTTGCTCGTCAACCATGGCATTCCAGAGTGCAAGGTATAATGAGAAAAGAGGGAGGAACGCGTTTGAAAAAACGATTAGCGATCACAAGGCTTCTTTTGATTGATCCAGGCGCCAGTGTTGTCGGTCTAGCCGATTTCCGCCGTACGCACTGTCGCAACTTACCGTCGTGACCGAATACCTAATTTCAAACGCCAATTGAAACAAGTCGAATAACTTATAGCGCTTCCTTGCAATATCGAAACAATGTTCAAAATTCATGTCTAAAAAATAATTATTCCGTCAATTTTAAATTTTTTATTTTAGCGATAATCGTTTTATACATCAGACGTCCGAGAATATATTAAAGAAACTTTTCAGAATTGGAAATTTTGCTGAAAAGTTTAGATAAATATATACGTTCTTAATTGTAATTTACAAGGACAAGTAATTAATAACAATTAGTTAACTAAATCAAAATAAGCTCTGATACTAAAATATTATCTGTACATAATTAATAATATACAATTATTTTTGTTGATATCAATTTTCGGTACATACGGCTGCAGTTCTGGTTATAATTAGTTAACAATAGCAATTAATCTTTTTTTAAGAGAAAGGAGAGCAGAGGAATGTTCGAATTTCACTATTTACATAAATTTAAACTTAATCTTTTTTACGTTATCGACGCTTATCTCAGAATTCGATATCTTAGAGCATCGGCCAAGTAATAGTTGCATTTTCAAGGGCCTTACGATAAACACAATGCTCGTTGCGCGATGGCCTTGCCGGCTATCGGAAACTTAACTGCGGGTGATATCGCAACGATGTATTGCAGTATTTTGTGCGATAATCCGACCCGCAACTTACGGACTTGTAATCGCGAACGTTCGTCGGTGCTGAATAACGCGGTCGTAAGAATATTATTCGCACGCGCGAGAAAACATACGCTGCACTGGGAAAAAAAAAA